TAGTGATATAGGCCCTAACCATTCGTAGAGGAGGGTAATATATTTGCAGGTCGAGACTGTCATCCCGCATCTGCCTGCTTCCTTTTTTGTATTGATTTTGTTAAGATTGATGGAAAATAGCTGGTCTTTGAAAAAAATGGTAGAAGCTTCAAGGAGAAGACATATTCTCCTGTAACCAATAAACTTACCAGTAGAAAAGTGAATTATTTAAAGAAATATCAAAATTAAAGATTTATTTGGATAAAGATGGACATTATTATATATTTTCTTTTTCCTCAAAGATCTGGCTACAGTAACTACATTATATTTACTTTCATAATATATTACAAGACTTCTGCTTAGGAAAATGCACAGCCTTACTCAACAGTCTACCAATATATACATTTAACATTGCATTTTCCAGAATCACTAATAATCATAAGCATGTACTGCAATTAATACTGGAAATCAACACATTGATTGGCATTTCATACACACTTGTAATACATAAAATACAGATCTATGCAAAGAACAGATTGCTTGCATTTATAAATTTTGCTTCTGGTATTAAAGTGCAGAAAATACCAGAAGAGATGCAACCTTAAAAGACTTCAAAAGACCTGCCATGCTGTTGTGTACAACCTTTTTTAACAAAATAAATATGTGCTTATTTGCCAGTTTCTCATTATGCATCAATCTTGACATGCTCTCCATCTTCCTTCTATATCTTCTTTTTAATTAATACATTTCTTAAGATGGAGTGAAAATATATTTGGCATTATCAATGCAAGTGCTTGTGAGTGTGCATACATATCTAATTCCTTTTGCTCCTGTGATAAATATTACTGCTTTATTTTATAATCTTATGCACACTTATTAAAGCCATAGCTGTATTATGAAATGTAGTGTAAATATATAATAAAATGAGTATGTTTAGTAATATTCTCAAAATGTATGTCATCATTTATGACTCTCCAAATGGATTCAAATGGGATTCATAATCCTTGCTTGAATCATCAGCAAAAGGATTCTTTTCATCAGGACTCTTGTGGGTTGGGGAATCAGATGCAAAAGGATTTTTAGACTCATCGTAGTCATCTTCAAATGGGTTGTTTCCCATTTGTTCTGTCTCAAAATCATCGCCAAACGGATTGTTACTATCCGCATCTGGCTCTTCAAATGGATTGTCTAAGGCCTTCTGAGTGTTACGAGAAATATGTGTGCTACTGAGTGCTGTGGATATGCTCTCCACTGGTGAAGGTCGCTTGGGGCTTCTATCCCTGGTAGCTGCTGGGGGTGATGGTGTGATGTGGTCATGGAGGGAAGAACCATATTTGCTGCCAGCTCCTTTCGTGGCTCCTCCCATCCTTGCAGAGTCATTTGACCTTAGGCGACTCTCAGCCACTGGGACAGTTACACTTGATGTTATCTGTGACCTCATCCTACCTTCTGTTGGACTTGTTATGACAGCGCTGGACTTGTCCTGTCTTACTCTCCCTTCAGGCATAGCTTGTGAAGTTGGCTCATTGGAAGTCTGAGCCATTTTTCTCCCTTCAGCCCTCAATCTACTTTCAGATTCAATCTCAAGAATACCCTGTCCTCGACGTTCTCCCATCCGCAGGCGACCTTCACTTCCAACTCCTAGAAAAAGAGAAATACTAAAAAGTAGAAATCCGACTTTCATTGCAGATTCATCCCAAATTAACAGAGAAATAACTTAAATATGAAACAGGATAAAGATGCAACATTATTCTGCTAGTGCTAACTGACCTGAATGACTTACACTTCAAAAGGATAATAAGAGAATACTCACCTGTGGGACCCTGGGTGACTTTCTCCAGCACACGCAATCTGGACTCCGGCTCTGGGACTGTAAGTAAAATGAATGTTAAACTTGTGGAATTTTCATTTATTGCTCTCTGAAAAAATAGAAAACTACCAAGACCACAAAATTTTCACTCAATGGTTAAAATTTCTTTTAGGCCACATCAATATTCTTTGTTGCTTTTTAGATTTGCTGCTACAATTTTTTTTCATTTTGAAGGAAAGAAAAGAAAAGAAAAGAAGAAGAAAAAAAAAGGCTGGATCAGAAACCACTACAGGTTTTGCTTTCGCAAACCTGTAAATATTGCCACTATCAGAGGCACATGCTGCCAGAAACCTATCAGAGAGCTTTGTAGTCACATGCTAAAGGACAACCAATTGGGAAGCAATGTGGCACCTTTCAAAACAATGTGGCACCTTAGAAGGTTTTAATGTGTTGGTGTGCAATACTCTAAACTCTAGAACTAAACTAGACACGTAAACATGCCAAGAAAAGCTGAAAACTTGAATAATCCAGTTAGTCTTTATGTTCTGTAAACCATATACTTTCAGACTTTTGCAATTTTCTCTTTTTTTTCCCTCAATTTAATTTTTTTCTGAAAAATCTGAGAAGCAACAAATAAAATTGGTGGCCTTATCAAGCATAATAAAGTTCTTTTTATTTTCAAAAAAATATATTCTTAATTAATTATTTCCATGAAAGCAAAGACAGTTGGTCCTGAACACTAGCAAACTACATGTTCAAAAACTTTAGCTTGAGAATGCTTAGTGAACTCATAGCAACTAGTCCAATAATAATAAATGCAAAAAGAGATGCATAAACTTGTACAATATCTAAGGTTTATTATTAATGACAAAATATAATCATGTTAAATTTTATACCCCTTTTATATTTAGCAAAATCATGTTTTGTGCACATTAAAAGAACTTTTCATGCAACATAAACATTAATTTTATGAAAGTGAATGCAGTTTGAGAGTAAATCCCGCACAATATTCAAATACTTTTAAAATGCTCAAGCACAGCAGCCAGTTCTACAAGCCAGAATCTTTCTGAATGTTCCCCATGATTTATAATGATTCATGGGAAGGTTTTCTCATCATGGCAAAATTTAACAACTCACCGACTCCACCAGTATTATGGTTGGGAAGCTCTGCTGCTCTAACTCGAGCCTCTGAACCTGTGTCTGTCACGTCCTTCTCTACAAAAGCGGATGCCTTTGGAGGTGCAACTTTACCCTGCATGCCTATAAGATTATACCATGCATAGCCTTAGCATAAATCAAAAGATCTAAAAAATGAAATCAAGATATAAACAAGAAAGAGTATAACATGCAAATCATATTTGCACGGAAACTTTTACTCAAGCACTACATAATAATAATGATGCTCACAGGAGTGGATACGAAAATATAATATCTTTGAAAGAAAATTAATCTTTAATCAAGAAGCTGCCCATTATTCACAATCTCTCAACAAAAAGCTACAGCTGTGAGGGTTACTAAACAACATAGAAGATGGGAAATGTAACCATGCAGCATACTTGAGACAAAATACAAAAAAAACAATTGTTACTTTTGTTGGTGTTGAGCGAGGGATAACAGTGGTAGCCAGGGTGTGTGAGATGAGTGAACACCCCTCGACCGAGGTAATCAGCAACCACGGAAAAGGAATCCGTACATCTTTCTAGCTGTTCATGAAACTGGTCATGTTGACTGCGGTGAGTTTCCTGCATAAGGGATCAAAAAACATAATCATTTATAGATGACAATAACAATAATAATAATGATGATATTAATGGTTTGTAAAGCAATATACTATTTAAATGATTAATAAATAATGGTGAAAATAAATGAGTATATATAATAGTTAACTAAAATGGGATTACATGGAAAAATAATATAAAGAATACCATGAACTCCCTGACTGAAGATAACTAAATATAGATAACACCCATCCCGAGCCAACAAACATACACGACAAAGATGCAGATCCTTGTACAATCATTTTACTGTTATTGGTGCTGTTGGTTCCAACTGTATAGTTGCTTAGTACTCTTCTAAGAACAAAGATATAACCTTAATGCAGTAATACATAACTGAATGCTGCAAAATCCTAACAACATTTTGATATATGTAATTAACCCATAATCCGGGTAAAGTAGAGCATCATTTCCTTATAAAAAAAAAAATAATATAATAATAATACAAAATAAAAAAAAATAATTATAATAATAAAAAAAAAATAATAATAATTAAAAAAAAAAAAAATAAAAAATAAAAAATATAAATAATAATTAATAAAAAAAATAATAAAGATGAGGCTGGGTGACAAATGTGTTCCTCATGGAAAAATCTGACTGAGGGTTGAGTGATAGGAATATTCTTTGTCATGGAAAATTTGGCTGGGTGAAAGAATGACTCAACATAAGTTCACAAAGCTCTTGGAGGGTGATTAGACACAGTGGTCATTTAGGAAAGTACTTTAAGGTTATTTCCATAGGTAAATGAGTGTGGAATGTACTATCTATAAACCATAACTGGAAGAGTGCTTGCTCACAGGGAGGGCCAACTATTCCATGCTCAGAATCCTATTCCTGCCAGCTGTGACTAGAGGCACAAAGTGTATTAAAGAAAACTGAGTAATACAGAAACATTCTAAAAATTAGTTATACGCATGGAGATGACAAAATCTAAAAGAAAAAATGTTTATGAGAATTAAGGATAGGCAAGGAGTTTGACACTGTTTGTGTGAAACAGATCAAGACAAATGTAAGTAATGAACTGATGGAAGGGTTGAATTCCCGGCACTTCCTTTGGAGGGTGATTAGACACAGTGGTCATTTAGGAAAGTACTTTAAGGTTATTTCCATAGGTAAATGAGTGTGGAATGTACTATCAATAAACCATAACTGGAAGAGTGCTTGCTCCAGGGAGGGCACTATTTCCAGAATCCTATTCCTGCCAGCTGTGACTAGAGGCACAAAGTGTATTAAAGAAAACTGAGTAATACAGAAACATTCTAAAAATTAGTTATACACTACCTAGAGAGATGGAATGGAGTCTGTGGATGGAGATGACAAAAATAGACCTTGGGAAAAGGCAAAAAATGTTTATACAGAGATAACAGGATAGGCAAGGAGTTTTGACACCACACACAAGTGTTTGTGTGGGGCAGGCCTACAAGCCACACACTCAAGACAGTCACCATGTAAGTAATCCTAATGCCCAGATTTTGGAACACACATGAGCAGCAAAGCACCCACATCCAATGATTTAATATAAAATATATAGGTAACCTTATATGAAGCATTACAAATAATTTGAAATCCAGCAATTCTCTCTTACCTGCGCCTTGATGACTTCTAACATTTTCCTGTTTTCAGGCAGACAGACTGGACAGTCGACATCACTCTCACTATAACTTTCAAAGCAACTGTGAAAGCAAAGAGAGCATACAACATGAAGTGAAATGGTGCTTAGTAATTAAAATGAAAGCTGTCAATAAACATGGACAAATCGTATGATGATAAATTTCTTGCTTCTCTTTTGTTAGTCACTGATTTAGTTGTTGTTTTTTAAACATAACATACACATTTCAAACATAGATCAGAAAAAAAAAAAAAAAAAAATCCATCCATCCATCTATATATACATTTTTTTAGGTACCCTGGGAACTTATTTTCATTATTATCATATCAATATCAATTAAAACTGAATAAGAAATTCCCGCACAATATTCTAGGAATGGAGGAACTTGATGAGGTAGGCCAAGTATGCATAGTAATTGAATTAACGTGAAGCTGTGCAAAAGAAAAGAAAAAAAGAAAGAAAGAAAAAAATCCACATCCCCTCACACACACACACACACTCTCTCTCTCTCTCTCTCTCTCTCTCTCTCTCTCTCTCTCTCTCTCTCTCTCTCTCTCTCTCTCTCTCTCTCTCTCTCTCTCTCTCTCTCACTCACTCACTCACTCACTCACTCACTCTCACTCACTCACTCACTCACTCACTCACTCACTCACTCACTCACTCACTCACTCACTCACTCACTCACTCACTCACTCACTCACTCACTCTCTCACTCACTCACTCACTCACTCACTCACTCACTCACTCACTCACTCACTCACTCACTCACTCACTCTCTCACTCACTCACTCACTCTCTCACTCTCTCACTCACTCACTCACTCTCTCACTCACTCACTCTCTCACTCACTCACTCACTCACTCACTCACTCACTCACTCACTCACTCACTCACTCTCTCACTCTCTCACTCTCTCTCACTCACTCACTCTCTCACTCACTCACTCTCTCACTCACTCACTCTCTCACTCTCACTCACTCACTCTCTCACTCACTCACTCTCTCACTCATCACACTCTCATCATACACTCTCACTCATACACTCTCACTCATACACTCTCACTCACTCATCACTCATACACTCTCACTCATACACTCTCACTCATACACTCTCACTCATACACTCTCACATGCACACACATACACCCACACAAACACATATACATTAGACAGTGCATGCATATACACTTATAGTGGCAGAAATGGGTTAAATAGATTTTTTTTCTTTAACATAACTTTTAACAAAATATTCCTTTTCCACTATTGTGAAAAAATATTCAAGTAAAACAATTTAATCCAACTTGACAAATATACCATGATACTATTAAGTGCAGCAAAAATGACACCACCACCAACATAAATATCCCTCATGACAAAGTATTTCAACATATTCGGTGTCATATGTATTAAAAAACACTTACTGTTGATGGAAGGAATGTCGGCAGAGAAAGTGGACAGATGGCAGTTCCAACTCGTTGTTGCAAATGTTGCATTTAGTAGCTGTAAACTGTGTTGCACTGGCAAAATAAAGTTGATAGATATTAACACAACTAATTAAGCTTACAGAACATGAAAAGAAAAAAGTAAGGCTATGGTATTATAAGAATTCTGCAAAGATTAAACACATGCTATATTGATCTACTTCCATAATCCAAAAACATTATAATGCATTTCTAGAACATGCTGAATAAATTGTTTATGATACACACCTCGTTCTGATTCCATTGATTGTCTCTCTCATTTTGGCTGTGTCACACGAATATTGCTCAGTGCGGGAAGTCTCTGCGGTGAGAGTGGCAGTGTGTGCAGATACTACTCTGAGGAGGTAATCCCGCACCTGTCCTAGTGTGATGTGTGGGGATGCAGCCAGCTGATCAACTACCTCCAATGGTGGCAATAATGTTTTCTCCTCTGCAAACAATAGCTTATGAATAAAACCTAAGGGATGCAAAAGGAGTACTTCTCAACTGCATATCTCTTCCAAAACTGATAAAAACTATTGCTCTGTATAACCTTAAAGTATTCTTACCTATGTTATTAAGACAAGTCATTAGATACTGAGGGTCAGGGGGAGCTGTTGACTCTGGGGAGGTAAGTAGCTTTAATGCTGAACACCAGAGGCGAGGCTGATGCTGCGATCTGCGCGAACACACGGCAAGCATGTTCTCCACTTCACCTCGCTCTGCATACCAGGAAAGGAGCTCTTCATACCTTGGGGGAAGACAGAGAGCAATTAAAATTATGATAAAAATAATGATGTAGCACAAAAGCACTGTAAGAAAACTGACTTAATATTAAAATAGATAAAACAATAACATAAGGAACAACTGTCATAAATGAGTAATAAAATAATAATCCACTCATGCACATATACACTATATTCATACACAAAACCTATTACAGTACAAATGCCTGGCTATCAATTATACTACTAATAGCAAAACTATGATTGCAATATCATATTAAAAATATCTGCAATGAAGGCAGCATGATAATTCATATTGGCTTCACCTTTTCTTTAAAAGAGAAAAAAAACAATCAAGCAGAAGCATGAGGGGGAGAGGAGGAGGGGAGGGAGAGGGGAGGAGAAAATAAGGAGGAAGAAAAGGAGGAGGAGGAGTTGGAAAAGGAAGAGGAGGAGGAAAAGGAAAGAGGAGAAAGAAGTATATGAAGAAGAAAAGAAGAAAACATATATGTATGTACATACATATATATAAAATATATAATATATATACTACATATCATATATATTATATACTTATAATGTCTACTATATATATTATGTACATCATTTATACTATGTAGGGGGAGGGAGGGGAGGGGGAGGAAAAGGAGGAGGAGGAGGAGGAAAAGGAGGAGGAGAGGAAAAGAAAGAGGAAGAGGAAAGGAAGAGGAGGAGGAAAGGGGAAAGTAGGGGGAGGGGGAAAGTAGGGGGAGGGGAAGGAGGGGGAGGGAGGAGGAGGAAGATCATGAAGAAGAAAATATATATGTATGTATATACATATATATAATATATATATTATACAATATATATATTATATATATTATACATTCTATACATATTATGTCTACTACATTTACTATGTATATTGTATATTATATATACTATATATTACAAATATCTTACATGAAATATATCATATATATTATATATCATATATTATATATATTACATAGGAGGAAGAGAAAGAAGTATATGAAGAAGAAGAAGAAAAAGAAAAAGAAGAATATTACATATTATATACATAATATACATTGTATAATTACATATATCATATAAAAAATAATTAAATGAAATAAAATAATATAAAACAAAATAACACAAAAAGGGAGAAAAAGAGATAAGAATGAACTTACATTCCTGCTTGTTCCCACAAGAGAAGCTTCCCATCATAAAACTGATGCTTATCACATAAGAGCAGGGCATGGTCACGGCTACAACCACTCTCTGTATTACGCAGTAATTCCATTATCTTTTCACCCAGTACCACCTGCTCCTGACCTGAAATCACAGAGAAGATGATGTTATAATCTTCCATTTCAAACCTTCAAAAAAATTCAGTTTTATATCCATTGTGAATTGTCTCAAAAGCCATCTTATTCACAGTAATACCTGGAAAACTGGACATTCACAAAAAAATTTCTTAGAATACTATGTCTGTTACCTTCTGGGGCTAGTCCATACTGGTGCAAATACTCTGCCAAGAGGGTTGTATAGAGCTTGTCTGACAGCTTCCCTGGGATAGTTGCCATTTTCTCAAGAAATGCAATTGCTTGCTCACTATGTCCCACTAAAAGGTACTCAAATTCCTCTGGATCCCCATACACTGGTTCTTCTGGGGTGAGATAGCCATCCAGTGAACCCTAGAGAGAGATTTTACTTAAACAGGGCAAGTTAGGTTCTATGGAATATAACAAATTCCTTTTTCAGTTTGACAAAAAAAAAAAAAAAAAAAAAAAAAAAGAACAGCTGTATGCTTCTTCTGGAGTCTCCTCTTTCAAGATTAGTTACCAAAATCTGAATAATAAAAATAAATGAAATCTCTGACTTCAAACAATTATCAAAAGTTATACCCTTGTGAAATATACTTATTAAGGATGATTATCACCTATGGCCTCTGCATTTTCAAGTGACCTACAGCAGAACTCACCTCTTTGATAAGGGGAGTGTTGCTTGGCTTGTAGTCAGTACAAAGTCTTATCAAAAGCTCTGTTGTCTCATCTGCCACATGATTCAGCAGGACTGATCCGTACCTCATTACACTTGATTTAGCTTCCTCAAAGTCCAGAGTTTTAATATACCTGTTAGATTCATAGCACATAAGCAAAATGATAATCATAATGGCATATATTTCAATAACTGTATGTAGACATCCACATTTATACATATCTAGCTCTATCTACATCATGCACACACCTCAAAGCTGCAACATAATCCTTTTTATCATCAATAAGGATTGCAAGGTGATGATGATGTAGCTTGTGTTTAGCTGCAAGAGCCAGAGCATGATCATAGTATCCGGCACTGCGGCACACACGCACTCCTAGCTCTACATCACAATCCACAGCCCCATCTTTGCTCTGTTAAGTAAATGTAGAGAAAAGGGATAGTTCTTCATATACATATTTACAAAAAACTGTCACATAACTTCATTCAAACATTTTTAAGACATTTACCGAGATAACTTCAGTTGATATTTCTTTGCTTACCATAATAAACTCATCCAACTGCTGGGTGTCTCTCAGGCGAGTGTAACAGTTCAATAGAAGACTTGTGTGATCGGCTGTGGCTGACCCAGAACGGTGTAAAGCTTGGAGGTATGTTGTCAAATTGTGAATATGTTGAGTGTCTAAATACTGCAACATAAGAAATTTTGAAATTTACCAATTACAAGAAATTGTAAAATAAAACATAATTATAAGAATTACACCCAAACATCTTTTTCTTACCATCTCATTTCCTTAATACATCTATATGAATATCAAACAGAGAAGAATCACATAAGCTATATATAAAAAAGACACCCACTTTTCTTTCCTTTAAAATAATAAAAAATACAACTATAATTCTGGATTTTTTTTTTTTTAAGTGAAACTTTTTTAATATAAAAAGGGTGATGATATTGGCCCAACCTTTCTTATAACATATGATGGTTCAAGGTGTGGGATGGTTTTGATGTACTGGTCCATTGCAGCAGGATGGTTACCCTTGCTGTATAACCAATCTCCATACTGACGAAGAATTTCAGCCACCTCCTCTTGGTCACAGCACTGTGTTTTGGCCAAACTATTGGGGGAAAAAAATAGATAAAAAGATAACAATAGGATATTCTTTCTATTCATATCATCCATATGGTGTTGGCACTACACAGCTTTCACATATACTTTGCAGTGCACCCAAAAGTGTGCATCAAATAACCCTCAGATGATGAACCTTTCTTATCAACTTTAAATAAAGCCACACAAAATCTTTGTTTAGCCTTACCTTATTGCAATATCAAACTGATTTTTCTTGAAGAGTAGTTGGAACTTGCTTTGGAGGTCTTTCTCTGACATGTGCACCATAGCTGGCTCTGTTGTGACCAGGTAGAGGCCTCCCCATTCCCCCACGACACCTGCTAACCCCCTCACCTTTGTGCTCAGGGCCACCAACTTGTTGGTTAGATCGTAAACAGTGATACTTCTTTCACTAGCCCTGGAATTATTCAGAAAATTTACTTTTTCACCTAAAAGCAAAAAAAAAAAAAAAAGATAAAGGGAGAGAGTGAGAAAATAGGTAAATAGAAAAAATTACATGCAATACATGTTAGTGTGGGGTAGTATATTTGGATCTTTCTTTTTATCTAAAATTCTGTTCTACAAATAAAAGCATTATATATACATTAACACACACATACACACACAGAGAGAAATGAATGTAAGTGTTTATTCATTTACTTATTATATAGATATAGATATATTCATATAAATACTGACAGTCAGATAAAGATAATAATGACTAAAAATGCTGCCTCACACAAATATGAAAGAATAAAGGTAGTGAATTAGGTAAACCACATAATACTTGAATGATTTATCAAATAACACTGTCTTTAAATATATGAGTGTTTTACAACTTAATAACATTTCCAACACTATCTAACCATTCAGATACTAAGCAAGACAATTCTATAAATTTAGCAACTTATGTGTCAATGACTAACCTGCTAGCAGGCAATCCTTTATCAATAGTGCCAACTATGAGGTATCCTCTAAACCATGCTACCATGGACTTTTCTCCTTCAAACACATAGCATGAACCACGGCTGTCACTTGTGTAACTATATATAGCCTGAAAATCAAAATTCTCTTAAAATTCTCTCCATACCATACTACTAATGGCATTTTACATACAAACTTAAAGGTACTACCAATCATAACACACACACGTATAACGAGAATGAGCTAAATCCTACTGTCAAAATTTATGACTAGTGTGCAATGGTGGAAAACCCACTATATACCAAATGGTACTGTAAGATTTTCCCTGTATACTGTATATTCTTTCATTCTTGAATTTCACATATCTATCAAAGCTAATTGTAGTACTGTTTTTGGCATAATCAGAATCTTAGAATTTTTGGTAGATAAATACTGCATTTCTTTCATGATCTTTATGTGTACTGTTAAAAGAATAGCAGTAGATAACATGAACACTATTTGTTTTTCATGAGTAATCTTAGTGAACTCATGCAGCAATAAATCTTATTAATGTTTGCACTGCAATTTGTGCCACAATAATGCTATACTACAAAATACCATATAAGGCAAGCTGCAATCTTACATCAGGTCTTGCCACTAAGAAATGATGCTCGTGACGACCATCAGCAAGTGTCGCACAACCAGGCTCACAACCCACAGAATCCAGCTCAACCTGTGAAAATCAACATCCAATTAATATTCTATTTCAATTCATCAAATCCACAGTATATATATATTTTTTAAGTTCAAAAGTACTTATAAACAAGTATTCAGAAAACTTACTGTTGTTTCTTTATCTCTAGCAGTGCAATTGATACAAAAGATATTGTTCTTTGTGGTGACAAAGAGATGAGTTGCACGTGTGTTGTGTCGGATATGAAGAGATGTAATGCTGCTGGAAACTGTCAGCAAGACTCGGTGTTTGCTGCCACGGTCTCGACTCACCTCACCTGTGAAAAAGTGTAATGGGGACAATTTACTTGGCAACGGGGTCAACCCAAGGAAATACATTATTAAATGATAAATTCTGCCAGTACTCCTCCTATGAACACTATATGAATTACCAAAGAAAATGTAAACAATTTGGAG